TGAATTGATGTCATTGGTTAGCAAGCTTGTTTGATTTTGGGATTTTTTTAAAATATATTTTATTGATTTTTTACAGAGAGGGAGGGAGAGAGATAGAGAGTTAGAAACATTGCTGTCTCCTGCACATCTCCTACTGGGGATGTGCCCGCAACCCAGGTACATGCCCTTGACCGGAATCAAACCTGGGACCTTTCAGTCCGCAGGCTGACGCTCTATCCACTGAGCCAAACCAGTTTCGGCGGATTTTTTCTTTTTAAGCTATCAGATGTAATCTTAAAAAATTCTGCTGGCACTTAGGAGTGATATTAAATAGAAGTGCCTCTGTGTGAGCACTTAATAAATGTAGTTTTAATTGTATATGCACTGTTGTTAAAGAATTTTAAGATACATGATTTTGAGACAACAAAAACTGACACCTGGTGGTAAGGTGTGTTTGTTTATGAAAGCCGCTGAAACTTTACACCCCCTGCCCTACCAGAGCTCCAGGGAAGGGTTTGTAGAAATCCGTTCGATAACACTGCACAAGCCTTAGAAACTATTCTAAAAAAGCTGCTTAAAGAAATGTTTCCCTTTAGAACCCTAAAAACAAAGTAGGATAAAACCTAGGCTAATACGTTTTTTGTCTGCTTTACCTTTTTTCCTAAAGGAATTCTGAAGGACTTCGTAAAATTAAACTCACGTATAAAAGAGTAGAGGTCAAATGTTATTGCTGCCTAAAGGGATGTTCAGGATTTCTTGCTATAAACTGTGCTAGAGTCAGGTTTGAGTAGTGATTAAGAGCACAAATTGCCTGGGTTTGACTCCCAGTTACTCTTTACTTGTGTGATGTAGGCAAATTATTAAACCTAGCAGTGCCTCTGTGCCTGTATCTGTAAAATGGAAATAATACTATTTCTTATCTGGTTATTTGGAGGATTAAATGAATGAATAGTTGTGTATGGCTTGCAACAGTGCCTAGAACAAAGCACTACGTAAGTGTTTGTTGCTTTTTATTACCAAGATTATTGTGCCAAATAAATTGCTAATTGACTAAGGCTTTAATATATCTGTGTAATAATTCATCATTATTTCAGTTCTAATTTGTGTTGTGTGATGATTGGTGATGTTGCATTTCATACCTTGTCTTTTTTTTTTAACACTTATTAGCTGTTAAAAGATATTTAAGGGAAAGGCATAACTTATATCAGAGAAAATATTTAAAGTATTTTAGCAGCCTCTAATTGTGTGTAGTAGATTAATTTTACATAATTCCAGTGGAATTAGTTACCTGATGTCTAAAAGACTTTTATAAATACATGAGAGAAATATTTAACCGTTGCTCAGAAATGATAATTCTTAAAACTTTAGTATTCACCAATATATTTATTGATTTAAAATTGTACATTAACATTTGGAAGCACATCCTTCTTAAGCTATTTCTTTTAATATTTAGTTGAAATTTTGATTAATTTGTAGGTTTTAGCAAATCAAATTTTCATTAGGTAAAAAGGGGAAAATGGCCCTAACCGGTTTGGCTCAGTGGATAGAGCATCGGCCTGTAGACTGAAGGGTCCCAGGTTCGATTCTGGTCAAGAGCATGTGCCTTGGTGCAGGGCACATCCCCAGTAGGGGGTGTGCAGGAGGCAGCGGATCGATGTTTCTCTCTCATCAGTGTTTCTAACTCTCTATCCCTCTCCCTTCCTCTCTGTAAAAATCAATAAAATATATTTAAAAAAGGGGGGGGGAATAATGTCAAAAAGGATCTAAGTGTAAGTTCTTTAATTAACCAGTTATTAGAATTTGCTATTAAAGTTCACATGCAGAAAATAGCTAATTGAATGTTGACACATTTAATGAGCAAAATAAGTTGTGCATATAAATTTAGTTTTAGAAACATCTTAAATTGACTAACTTGCATTTTAAATAGGAGAGTACCAAATGAATATATTTTTAAGAATGTATTTTTAAAATGTTTAAAATATATTTTAACATTGCATGGAAATTAAATGAACATTTTTTTTTCATGTTTTCTGTAGTGTCTAATTTTTCTTTAATAGCGAGGTAGTTTTATAGAGTTTTTATACGGTCATTTCATGACCTGATCTTTAGTATTTGGAAAAAGAAAAAAACAAGGAAATTAAAGGTAAAGCGTTTTAGTAATGTTTGTTTTCTCTATATGAAATGCAAATTGGAATTTTCCACTGAAAAATATATTTGTTAAATATTTATTAAGCACATTTTATATGCTAGGAACTGTGGCAATTGTTAGTTTTACATTGATAAACAAAACGAATCTTTTCTATATTCACGTATCTAAAGATCTATCATGGGAGATGGATAAAGCAAAATAGACATATAATTATAAATCTGTGAAGTCTGATTCAAGAAATGGAGCCGGAGACCCAGGGGACCTGAAGGATCCATCTGCTGGCAGGGATGGCTACTCAGAGGGAGTGACTTCCAAGCTGAGATCTCACGGATAAGGAGCCAGCCACATAATCATGTCACTCATTCATTCCACAGATTCCTGTTGTTTTTTTTTTGGTGCCCTATTTCTCTCTGGGTTAGTTGCTGGTCATACAGTAGAGAATGAAACGTTCTTGAACTTTGTCCTTGTAACACATAAGGGCTGGTGTTACAAGGAGAAAAGACGTTAAGCACGTAGACAAATATATATTTATAGTGGGAGATTGTATTCAGAGCTATGAGGAAAAAGAGAGGGAATAATTTTGTGATTTGCTCTGAATTGGCTTCTCAGGGGAGGAATGTCTGTGTAGGCGGTATAGGTGAAATTCTGAAAGATAAGGAGTCGTTAGCAAAGGGAATGGAGCGATAGTGGAAGGTTCTAAGGCCTTTATCGCCATAAATGTTGGTTACTTTTATAATAAAACAGATTGTTTTACGTTACTGAGCTTTATTTTGCCACCATTCTCAATGTAAGGCAGGCGGGGCTCAAACAAATCTTGTTTTACAGAATTACTTGGAGTCCTATGGGAAGATGTGTATTTACCTGCCCTTAAGTATGACAGAGATCAGCACGACAGGAATGCGCCGTGATTTTGTTCAATGTATTATTATTGTGTGTTTGCTTAATGTTCTTTCCTTTTTAATTTTAATGCTGTGAATTTGAAGAACTCTTGGGTTGTTGAAAGAAGTGAAAACCTGTTGTATGTTGCAATGTTAAGAAAACCAATTGCAAATCATTAGAAGTTAAGAAACCGAAAGAAGAGGGAATAAGATAGAAAGAGGGCTGGGTAGTTAGGTGTAGGTCTATGATCGTAAGGTCTTTACATGTTCTTATTTTGTCATAATTCAGTGCTTATCTGTGAAAATGTTGTCTGCACTGATGAAATTTGAAACTTTTCTCCATTTGATCCGATTTTCTCTAATTTTATTTTAAGCAGAATAAATTGGTTAAGGATGAGTGTGGGAGGCTTGCTGCATAATAGATGTGTGGTACTCAGGGAAAAGCCCGGAAGGAAAATTCTCTACACATTCTGAGGGGTTTTTTTCTATCTTCAAATCTCCTGAAAACCACAGAAAGCCATGCCAATTCCTTATCTTAAACATGCCAGAACAGTGCAAAAGAAAAAGATAGACAGTGGTTTTTCTCTCTTTGTGTAGGTGACTTTTTTTCCAAAAGTTAGTTTTCATATCTGTGTTAAAGGCTACAAGTATCTGGATTGTGTCAGTCCACACTGAGAGGTCACGTAGAAAGTAGGATCTTCAAAACCTTTAGGATTGTCTGTCTTCAGGAAGGGAGACTAAAACGAGACAGAACAGAAAAAAGACCACGCAGAAATCGTTTTTCACTTTTCCCTTGTAGCCAGAAAAAGTTTTTTTCTCTTTTAAGCTTAACTTGGAAACCCGTGATTCCGTTATTTTGCTTTGTTTCTCATCTTAGTATCCGTTTTAAATGGCATTTGCCTTTCATATGATTCTTTCCCAAAACATGTTCATGAATTTCGGATGATTGTAAATGATTCTCTATGTGGACAGGGCTTTTTCAGCTTATTAGATCATAATTAAATAGTTTATATAAACCAAATTGACAAAGCTTTATTATTTTAGCAAAATATTATTCATTCTCTAAAGCAGAAAAGGAGGTAAAAGAAATGTTTTAAGCTTAATGAGGGATGAGAAGTTCCGTTATCTTTATGAAGGGGGACGGGTATGCTGATAGGGTGTCTGACAGTGCTCTGTTTTGCACTCAACCTTACAAATGTGGGTGACAACACTGTTAACAGTGTTTTAGACTCCTATATGTGATTAGAAAGTGCCATCACACGTATTTTTCTCTTTGTGTACAATTGCCAAACCGTGCATTGTTGTAGCCTGTTGTTTTCTGCACTGTTCAACCGCAAGTGGGAATGTACTCAATGCAGTCACATTACAAACATATTTAAAATTCCAGTTCATGGTACTTAAATGTAAAATAACAATTTCATATGTTTTACAGAAAACGCATGTTTCAGAAGAGATGGGTGAAATTTGATGGCTTTAGCATTTCTTATTACAATAACGAGAAGGTAAGTACATTTTTAGTTTTTAAAGATTGCTTTATGCATCCTAAGTGTACTTCAGTAAACTAAGCAATCAACCTTTTGGTTTTTTTGAGGACATGAGTTGGATTATCGCATGAAAAGAATTATAATAGGGTAAAACACTCTTCATAATTTAACTTTTTCTTGAAACATCAAATTGAAATAAAAAAAAACACACACACTTTAGATATCTAACAGTTATTTATGGAGTATCTTGTATAGCCTATAGAAATTGCTACAAGCGATATACAGATGGACAAGGAAATGCCTTTATCCTAGAGAGCAGTAAGCAGTGTTTGCAAAATTACATCACGGTAGGGGATGGCAAAGCAAGGAGAGTTACTCCGAAAGGGCTTGTGGAAGAAACAAAGAAGGTTTCTTGCATGGGATTTCGTTTGCTATTTGTCTTAAAAAAAGAATGTTTGTACTTGGAGAAACTAGAGAAATGTTCGTGTAAAAAGAAACTAGTGGGAACAGGACTGATAGCAGAGAGAATAGTGAGATGCTCAGATGGGAAATCCATTCTACTATGGATGTAGTTTTCTCCAAATGGGGATAGTGTTTGTTAAGGAAACTTGTGGGAGATGGAACTGAGAAGGATGTTTGGAGTTATAACTCACTGAAAAACCTTGATAATTATGTTACAACTAGAGGCCTGGTGCACAAATTCATGCACAGGTGGGGTCTGGCTGGCCTGCTCTGATGGGGGCCCATCGGGCCGGGCTGATGGGAGGGAGGGGCCGTTGGCAGTTGGCTGGCTGTCCCCATCCCTGATCAGGGTGTTGGAGGCCGATTGGGGGCTGGAGCAGGGGTCAATCGGGGCCCAGATCAGGCTGGTTGGATGTTGCAGTGCTTGTCATAGCCACTGGTCGTTCTGCCGTCTGGTCACTGGGCTTTTATATATGTAAATATTTGCACAAATGCATAGTTAGATAAAACAAAAATTAAAGATGCTAACAGTTGTCAGATCTAAATGGAGGATACATGGGTATTCATTGTACTAATCCTTCAACTTCTTTGTGTTTAAAAATTAATTTCCTTAATCAAAGGTTGGAGCCTAATAAGTATACCATATTTCAGTTAAATGAAATCAGACAATTTTATAGCCTTAACTATATACATTATTTTAACATACTCATTTAACACTTATCCACATTCTCTTATTTATAATCTAACATTATTTTTCCATTATTTAGAGATTTCCACCATCTAATATTGGTGATATTTGTGGCTTGAATAGAGATTTATATTCCCTTTCATATATTGGTTCTTCAGTGCTGCAGGGCAGAAGAGAATATGGTTTTAGACATAAGATAACTCAGGGCATAGTATAACACTAAGAATGATAGAGGGCAACCCACTTGAGTCTTCTCCCTGCAGCAGGGAGCTTTTCTGTAATAAAACTTTGTTTTTGCTTAAAAAAAAGAATAATAGTCTAGAGAAGTGCTAATTGCTGGATTTCACTTTACAGTGGTCCAGATAAAGCATCAAATAGGTTTCAATACACCTCTTGGAAATTTGCAAGATAGTGAGATGAGTATTTTTTAATAGCTGGTTTTCTGCTTTAACTATGGTTTTTAGTTTATTTTTGTATTTGATTTTTTATTATTTTTTAAAATATGTTTTTATTTATTTTTAGAGAGAGAGGAAGGAAGAGGGATAAAGAGATAGAAACATAGATGAGAGAGGAACATCATTGATTGGCTACCTCCTGCATACCCCCTACTGGGAATGGAGCCTGCGACCTGGGCATGTGCCCTGATCAGAAATTGAACCTGTGACCTCTTGGTTCCTGGGTCGATGCTCAACCCCTGAGCCACACCTGCAGGGCAATTTGTGTATTTGAATGTTGAGACAGTTTATTTGCCTGGGGAGGTACAATGTGGTCTCTGTATCTGATGGAATATGACCCCTAGTGTTCTTCAGTACCTGTGCCCTTCTCTGGTCTCATTGGAATGAGGAGGAAAACTATTCAGGAATGAAACAGGCTTCCATGCAATGAAGCTCTGTTGGTGGTGGTATCATTATGGCCATTTCGGGGAGAGACTTTCTAGTATCTGTGTCCAATTGGACTCCCTCTGTCCTTTTGAAAGCTCATTTCCAGTGCAGTGAGGGGATGAATACTTATCACATTTTTAAATATTGATGCAATAAAATTGATGCAACTTCGGTTTAAAATTGAGGTCAAAAGTTCACCTTAAGCCCTAGCTGGTTTGACTCAGTGGATAAAGCGTTGGCCTATGGACTGAAAGGGTCCCAGGTTCGATTTCAGTCAAGGGCACATGCATGGGTTGCCGGCTCAATCCCTGGTCGGGGGTGTGCTGGAGGCAGCCATCGATGATTCTCTCTCATCATTGATGTTTCTCTCTCTCTCTCTCTCTCCCTCTCTCTCCCTTCCTCTCTTAAATCACTAAAAATATATTCTTAAAAAGTTCACTTTAAAATGAATTATTATAAATCCTTCAGCTTAACATCAAATTTTTAAAAATTCAAATTGTTGTTTTCTGTGATATTTTCCCCCTTTACTATTCAGATGATTTGGTTTATCTTGGCGAAAAACACAACACTGGGATGGGTGTTTCTAAAAGGAGACATTTTCTTTCCCTCTTTTTTTTTATTGTTTTTAATATATATATTAAAAACATATATGATTTTTTTCTTTATTGATTAAGGTATTACATATGTGTCCTTTCCCACCATTGCCTTCAGAAAGTGAGAGGGAGAGAGAGATAGAAACACATCAATGATGAGAGAATTATTGATCGACTGCCTCCTGCATGCCCCCTACTGGGGATTGAGCCCACAACCTGGGCATGTGCCCTGACCAGGAATTGAACCATGACCTTGTTTATAGGTCATTGCTCAGCCACTGAGCAACACCAGCCAGGCAGGAGACACAGTTTTTGTTGTGACCTTTCAGGCAGAAGAGAAGAACTGGGAAGAGGGTATTTCAGGACCAGGGAGCAGAAGGCATAGATGCAGTCTTAGCTACCATGTCAGTAGGTGTGCAGTTTTAGTGGTCATGTGCACTGAGTAGGTGCATCTTTCAATGTTTACATGTGCACTTGGGGAGCATGTATTGGGCTTTTAGGAGGCAGTGCACAGAGTTGCCTGTTTCCCTGGTTTCCTTCCACTTTTCTCAGCACTGCTCAATCATGTCTCCGCAAGGACTTTTCATTGTGTTACTGAAAATGGCACCATCCCCATGGCCTTGATATCTTATCACCTGCCAAGAAATGGAGCTCACCCCCATTCTCACTCAGCTGTGGGCAGAATTGCCCTGTGGTTGTTTCATTGTCTGAAAGTGGTAGATAAATGACAAACTTGACATAGATATCTATGTGTTACAGGCTCCAGGGATGCTTTAAAATTTCTTCTTCTAAAGAAAATTTCACACTCTGAAAAACATAGTCATTTTGAGCCTGTTGTCACTGAGTTGTTATTTCTAAATTGTCTTTGGTCTTTAGTGTGTGTTGTTTGAAGAGAAACATAAATGCAACTCCACAATGTTAAAAATTATGAGATTTATCTTGTAATCATCCCCTGACAGATTATAAATGAGCCATTAGAGGAACTACAACTTGCTGAGGTTAAAGTGACACTGTATTTAGCATGTTAAGTACATTTTGATCATTTCTGGATAATTGTTTTTCTATTACTCTTCTATAAATACTTTTAGATATAATTTCATTATTACAGGCATGTAGGTCAGTTGTTACTTTTTTAATGACTTTTTTTTTTAATCTCTTTAAAGAGATCTAGAGGAAGGGGGGAAAAAATCTCCTTTTTAAAATTCCTGTTTCTTTTTCTATAATGCTACTTGATTTTTTTCTATTGAAAAAATGAGTTAATGGTAATATTTTATTCAGTATTTCACTGGAAATATACCTTTATAAGCTCCTCTCCCTAATTCTTAGGCAAACTGAAATTCCAGAATGGATCACCTAAAGGGTATAAGGTATAAATGTTTTGGACCTTCTCGATTTTTGACTGTTTAGTCTCAACCACTTACAGCCAAGAAGGGTCCTCACACTGTCCCCAGGGGTGCTGTGCCCTTTCCCGGGTCTTAGGTTGCCTCACAATAGGGAGACATCCCCCGACTAGGGAGTCATTCCTAGAGCACTTGGTGATCTAGTATTGCCTAGTATTGCCATTGTAACCCACAGTTACTGGCTTTCCTTTGTTAAAGCCAGTCATTTCATTTATTTCTTGTCAGTGAACCTTTTCAGTAGTGTCTGGACCCACTGGGGGAACCTGGAGCATGTTTTTCCTACGTTTTCATCTCCATGTTTTTGCTCTTTCCTCTCAATTTTCCTGTCCATTGCCATCCATGAAAACCCTGTACAAACTTCTAGACCCACCTTTTTACCCTCCTCTGTGAATCTTTTTCCAACTGCAATAAATGAACAAGATGCAAGGAAGGTTAGGGGGAAGACAAGCTGGACGGGAGGAGGCAGATCGGAGGATGTGCAGTTAAGTCAAGCGCTCATTTACCAGGTGTGGGCTGTATAGGCCAGTGGAGGGATTCAGAGAAGGGCTTCAGAAACATATTAAACATGAGCTGTCAGAGTTTGGTATAACTGTGATGGATTGGACGTAGAATTTATTCATTCAGAAAATATTTATACAAAACTGATATGTGAAAGGTGGTGAGGAAAAATGACGTGTGACCCACAGTCTATTTGGGGAGACTGTATTAACCAAATGATCACACCGTAAATACCAAAATCATCATTTAAATTATATTTAGTAGTTGTTATAAAGGAAAGATACAGGTTGCTATTAGCTTAAATCAGGGTTACCTGCCTGGGTGAGGACGAAGAACTGAGAGAGGAGGCTGGTCAGAAAGGCTTTCTGCAGGAGCATGTAATATGCTGAAATGCAAAAAGTCATAGGGGCATCTTTAGTGAAGTTGGGTATGAAAAACATTCCTCAAGAAATAAGTCAGACAGAAAAAGTTAAGAACCGTATAATTTCACTGAGGTGACATATAAAACTGAAAGCAACAAATGAACAAATAAGACAAAAGCTCACAGAGAGAGCAGCGTGGTGGTTATCAGAGAGAGTGGGCGGGTGGGCGGGGTAGTACGGAGTGTAAAGGGTGTCAAATATATGGAGATGGTAGAAGGTTTGACTTTGGCTGGTGGGCACACAATGCAGTATACAAATGATGTATCATAGAACTGTGTACTTGAAACCTATATAATTTCATTAACCCAATAAATTTAATTTTAAAAATATTTAAAAACAATTCCTTGAAGAGGAAACAGAGTATGCAAAAGGTATGTTTAAGGGACAGCAGGAAGGTCACTGTGACTGGAAAGAGTCAAAAGAGACATGGAGAAGTAGGGAACAAGTTGACACTGTAGCTGAAGGGGGAGTCCCAAGTTATGGGGGTCGAAAGGTCAGCACAGGTCAAAGACTCTTCTGTTGAAGACTGATCGACTAGAAGAGTAATATTTTAATGGACAGATATAGAGGCACGGTATATTTGAGGAGATAATTGAGTTTGAAAGTTACATTGTTGATGACTAGAAATATGGGAGTGAAGTTCACTGAAATGGATAAGGAAGGAAGGAGCAGATTTTGGAATTCTCTGCATGGAATTGGTTAGTTGAAATAGCAAGAACAGAAAATAGTAAAAGGAAAATAACAAGGAGAAGATACTTCGTAATTACGTATTTTTTGATATCCCTCTTCTTTTTTTTTTTGAGAAGTTGCCCACTCATCTTTCTAAATCACACCAATGCTCTATCCACTGAGCCAAACCGGTCAGGGCTCACATTCAGTTTTTAAAAAATGGTTTTATTGATTTTTAGAGAGAGAGGAAGGGAGAGGGATAAAGAGATAGAAACATTGATGAGAGAGGAACATCGATTGGCTGCCTCCTGCATGGCCCCTACTGGAGATGTGCCTGCAGCCTGGGCATATGCTCTGACCTAGAATCACATCCACTGAGCCAAACCGGTCAGGGCTCACATTCAGTTTTTAAAAAATGGTTTTATTGATTTTTAGAGAGAGAGGAAGGGAGAGGGATAAAGAGATAGAAACATTGATGAGAGAGGAACTTCATCGATTGGCTGCCTCCTGCATGGCCCCTACTGGAGATTGTGCCTGCAGCCTGGGCATATGCTCTGACCTAGAATCACTCTCTTGGTTCATGGGTTGGTGCTCAGCCACTGAGCCACACCAGCTGGGCTCACATTCAGTTTTGGTAGGATTTTGATGGATCCATAAAGAGGTGGGAGATTGGAACAGAGGCTCTGGAAGAGAAGAAACTCTCAAAGAACTAAGGAAATACCACGGTAGTACAATATATCCTCTCAACTAGCAGAGGATAAACCTCCCAGCGGACTGCCGTGTTGTTGATAGTGACTGTCCCTTACCTGAATGCCCCTTACTGTCTGCTAGTAGCGCAGTTTACCCCTCGGAGAATATGAACTTGTCTTTGGTTCTCTGCGTGGAATGGTTGAGTACATTATTCGCGTAGACTTTTCTTTCCAGCACAGGGCCCATTAAACATTGTACCCTTAGTAAGCAGCTGAGTTTGTGTGGTGGTCATTATGCCAAATGGTTTAGGAGGGTCCCGGTAAAAGAAGACAGAGTTACCAAGAGTCTTAAGAATGACCCTCTTGAGCAAAATTATGATCTGTATATATCGATTGCAAACAGCCACATCCACATTTTTGCCTTCTTTTGTCATTGGGGGAATAAAAGTGAAGTGATGCAGTCATGAGATTAAGATCATCATCATCAGAGCATTGAGTAATATGAATAATTGATGTAATCCAACAGTCTTGTTTCTTAGATATATTGTTGTTCATAATATGTAAGAGCAGTCATTTTGAAATGGTTCAGTTACAGTACCTGTTATGGCCAGCAGATGCCTGCAAACACCATAAAATCATTTTGAGCATACTGTTTTAAAGACCAAACTGCTGTTTTTTGGAGCTATACATATATAAATATTGCTGATCTAGTATAATTGTTTATATTTCATTCTTTGCCTTTTAATTCCAGATGTAGAGACTAAAGACATTTTACTTAAAAGGAACATTTAATATTTTCTTTTCTGGGAGTATTAAGTGTGTATTAGGATATCTACTATTTGTTTGTCATTTAAAAAATTGAGATGAAACCGTGAAAGAGACGCACTTGTAAATGTTGTGCCATTCTTCCCCCCCCCCAATAAGATCAAAAGAATTTTAATGTCTTCTTTTGTGTATCTTTTTCTCTAACCAATATAGGAGAAGTATTCAAAAGGAATAATTCCCCTTTCTGCTATATCTACAGTACGAGTTCAAGGAGACAACAAATTTGAGGTTGTTACAACACAAAGAACTTTTGTTTTTAGAGTAGAAAAAGAAGGTAAGATTATTTCTTTGTTCCTATGAAAACACTCGCAGATCTTCAAGAAATCTTTAAATATGTTACTTTTAAATAATTTACATTTTATGTTAATTTTTTAAATGCCATAAGCAAGCTGACAAGTATTTATTCACTATTCTCACATGCAGCTAATACTTAGTGGGGGTCTACTAAGGGTCAACAAGGACTCTTCTAAATTCTGAGTATACAGCAATGAAAAAAAGTAGACAAACATCTCTGCTTTTATGGGTAATAATGCAAAATAGTTATTTAATATGCAAAAATCCGTTTTTCTAGCCATTCCAAGGTTGGTTTTACAGCAGGCTTTAACTGAATGCACAGGCACAGTAGTCATTCTAACATAGATTTTGCAGCATCTTTTCTTTTTCTTGACTATTTTCACCTGCATCAGCTGCTACAGGTCACTTGATGGTGAAAATTGATGTAAAGGTGGTTTAGGGATATCTAAACCTTTAAACCTTCTCTGACTTTTTGGGTGGGAGTGAGGGAGCTAGAGCCAGGGGAGTTAAAATTTTCTGTTGTGTGTTTTGATTGACTGCCAATAGCATCATTACTATAAACACCACTACTTTTAAATAATATAGGTAAGGTTCTATTCATTAATTAAATAGGACTTTAACTTATTTTAAAGCCCACTTTTAGGATAGATTACATACAACTCAACCAGATTTTTAAAAGTACTTTTACTTGTTGGTGCTTAATTTGAATAATGGGTGATATGGAAAACTTACTCATTTTCACAATAGTTTCATGATATATGTAGGTATTACAATTATCATTCCATTTTACACATATGAGCATTCACTTTTTATAAACTACAACAATATTAACTGTTAGGAGCAATATTTATGTATTTTTAAACTGCTAGATTCCTAGAACATACGCTTGGGCATGGCGCATAGAAAACATTCCATAAATATTATTTATTTCTAGAAAGCTTCCTATATTGCTTGGGATAATCAGTAAATGAGTAAGTCCCAGCTGCTGTTTATACTGGAGCTGCTTTTGTCAAACGGTGACTCACTCACCACTTGAGAGAGTAACTTAGTGGTTTCTAATGATATATATAAAAAAATACCAAACAAACATAAAAAAGAATAAGAAATACCAAAGTACATCGCTTCTGGTACGTCTAAATAATTTATTGTGAAACATACCGATGCATATATTGCACCCATGTCATGTAAAAGTGTTTCTTATTTGTTATTAGACAAATGTTGAGCGCGTTAGCCTAGTGCAGGGGTTAACCCAACATGCCCAGGTGCCTAAGTGTGGCTCAAGGCTTGCTTTCCTACACACAATCTAGTTAGATCCCAACCACCATCATTCCCTGACATCTCATCTTGCAGCTGTTTGTGCCTCAGTGGCAGTGTTGAGCTGTGGCAGCCCAGCCTGTATGGTTAGGAGAGCTTGAGATATTTACTGCCGGCCCCTTTACAGAAAGAAAGCTCGCCGACCCCTGTCCTGACCTGGAGCACTTTTCATAGACCTGCTGCTTATGTGAGAAGCTACTTTTTGTGGTTCATTGCCTAAAATTCAGAAAGTTATCCACAGTTGTGATACTCGAGATGGAAGTTGTCTCTGAAATCATAGTTTTCTCTTAGGCTATTTCTTCAAACACATGGCGTTGCTACTCTTGACTGGCTCTCATGGTGCTCTTTCCTTCTGCTTTGGTTTCCACGGCCCCGAAGGTGACTGCCTGTGTCTTTGAGGTGCTTGTCACCTTCCCCTTGGCCTGTCAGAGTGAATTCCACATATGCCACGCGGCCTGCATTTTAAGAGAGACGTACCAAGTAAAGTTTCCAAACTGTTCAGCCACCTTTACTTGCCGCAGTTAAAAGTTAAACAGACACATTTTCTTAAAGTGGAATTTGTCAGCCCACACATTTAAACGTTACGTGTTTATAGTTGACCCTTGAATCCATCTGTGATATCTTGTGCATCTTTGTGATACGAACTTAGTATAAGAATTTCATTAACTTTGATATAAATTATTTGTTAAATAAGTTTTAGGTCTTTAATTTTTGAAAGCGTGAAAATATTGCTTTAGTGAAAATTCTATTCACATAGAATTACTGAAGGTAATTTTTAAGTTATTTTCATTGGAAGTCATTTTTACAAAGTAACAAGTCACATTTTTAAAGATAAGTGGATGTAGCCGGTCACACCACCTTTACTTGCCGCAGTTAAAAGTTAAACAGACACATTTTCTTAAAGTGGAATTTGTCAGCCCACACATTTAAACGTTACGTGTTTATAGTTGACCCTTGAATCCATCTGTGATATCTAGTGCATCTTTGTGATACGAACTTAGTATAAGAATTTCATTAACTTTGATATAAATTATTTGTTAAATAAGTTTTAGGTCTTTAATTTTTGAAAGCGTGAAAATATTGCTTTAGTGAAAATTCTATTCACATAGAATTACTGAAGGTAATTTTTAAGTTATTTTCATTGGAAGTCATTTTTACAGAGTAACAAGTCACATTTTTAACGATAAGTGGATATAGCCGCGATGTTTCTAGCTCTCTGTCCCTCTCCCTTCCTCTCTGTAGAAAATCAATAAAATATATTTAAAAAATAAAATTAAAAGAAAGATAAGTGGATGTAGAGATGTGTGTGTGTGTGTGTGTGTGTGTGTGTGTGTGTACGTACATATACATAAATGCTATATATGTGTCCATATCTTTAGTATGGAACTTTCAACAGGATACTAAATGTGTTTTATTAAGTGCTTTTTTTCTTTCCATGTATACAAATGATTACTTTTTATTTTGTGGGAACTGAGAAATCAATCCAATGAAATATGGTTTATGAAATATTTGACTTAATGAATTTTAAGCCAAATTAAACTTTGCTTCAATCTATTCATCATACAAGACCAACATTTGGAACAGAAAGAAGAAATGGTTTCCTATTCTAACAGAGCTGAATTCTTTATTTTGGGCAGGAAGGTTCTGAGTGACCTACATATAGCAGCTCCCCGTCTCCCCTGAAACCAGTGTCACTCCTTCCAAACTGCGGCGTAGCCCCCTGCTGAGACAGGGTTACAATTTGGCATCCTTTCCCCACACATTTTCAAAGGCTCAATTCCCCCCGGTTGCCTAGTGCCATACTGTCATTCTCTTAGTTGAAATAATAACATTTTAAAAATGCTCTTTCTCACATAGAAAATGTAGTCTGATTGTTTTTGTCCTCAAACAGAGCCATGGGCACTGGTCATAGAAGCTAATGATCTCTTCATTTAGTCTGTATCCCCTTGGCCCTGTGGACACATGCAGATGTGTTACTGCACACATTCAAACAGCAGGTGATGTGTGAGTGCGCAGTTCTCAGCGTTAAAGGGGGGGCTTAAGAATTCTTCGGGGTCCTTCCCCTTCCAGGCCACTTGTAGCACTGGCTCTCAGATGCAGGTCCCGTGTTCCTATCCATCTTTGCCCGTTCTGGACTCCTGGGAGACAGGAAGTGTCATTCTCCCAGCCATGTTTCCAGAGTCTAGAAATCTAGACTACGCCACACAGCCCTCCAGTGGCCACTGCAATACCGCAAGGCTCCCCCCTACCCGAACCGCCCCCACCACCACTGTCCTTTTCTTTTTAAAGAACACTTGGGCTAAAAAAACATAAATCCCCCTTCGTTGTTTTGGGCAAGCAGACTTACCTGTTTTGAAATCGCCAATGTTTCAGAAGCAAGGCATGGAACATTTACTCCCTGGAGGGAGAGCTGGGCGATTAACAGTTCTCTGTTGCATCCTTTGATAGGCTTCTCATGATATAGCCAGCCACACACTGTGAGTCATTGTCCTACCTTTTTCTCTCTCATATATCACATCCAGTCCATCAGCAGATCTTATCAGTTTGAGTTTGGAAATAGGTCTGTATGCAGGCCAGTTCTCAACACCTCCCCCACTTCCACTCTAGTACAAGCCACCACGTGTGTCTGGATCATTGTATTAACCGCCCTGGATCGACGACAGTCATATGTTCACTGCAGCTGTCGGAGCAATCACTCAACAGGAAAGTCAGGTCATTGCAGTCCACTCCCGGTGGTCTGTGTCTTTCCATCTCACTGAGAGTAAAGCCGTTAGGATGCCCAAAAGCCCATGTGGGTGGCCCTGGTCCCTCTGTCCTTATCTCCTGTGCTCTCTTTAACTTGCCAAACCTGCTGTTGCCTTGGGGTCTTACACTTGCTGCTTTTATTTTTTTTAAATTCCAGAGTGCTCCTCCTGCAGCCATCCTCCTGACGTGGTCTGTTATTCCCACTTCCTTTAGGCTTTTGCTCCACCATCACCTTCCTAGGCTTTTTCTATTAGTCTATACAAAATAGCACTTCCCTGTATCCCTCATCTCATTCTTTATTTTATCCTGTTGCACTCCGCACTGTGTAACAGACTTTTCTATATTTTATCGCCTTCCTTTTGCACAGTGTGTGAACTCCAGCAGAGTAAGGCCATGATCTGTCTTGTTCCGTCTTCCATTCCTGGTGTGCAGAATAGGTCTTGGACTGTGGTGGGCACTCAGTAAATATTTGTATGAATGGTAGGTTATTGACTTCAAGAACAAGCCCTGTGTGCAATACTTCCTTCCCTAAAATTGATCATGGGCTACTTTGAGGGAGTTTTAAAAAATGTTGATTATCATACCAGATTATATCAAAAGTGAGGGTCCATTTAAACTTGGTTAGATCCCGTTATTAATCTGTCGCACAGCCCTTGCATAGTAATAACCTAGTGCAGTGGTTGGCAAACTGCGGCTCGCGAGGCACATGCGGGTTTTTGGCCCCTTGAGGGT